CCAACAATTCTGGGTGCCCCCTCAAGAGAACAGTGGGCTCTCCCTGGCATGGCTAGCTAGGAAAGCAGGACAGCAAAAGTTAAACACTAAATTGCGTTTAAATAGAACTCACACAAATGACAAATTAGCTGAGAGTTCCTTATTGGTTTTTGTTTAATAATTCAAAAACCAATACCAAACCAAATGTAAAAGAAGACAATAAGTGACTCCAGAACCAGGCTTCCTAGAGTTAATCTCTTCTACAAACTTTAATGGCAGCACATCCCTTCTCTGCTCACTAAAAGCAACTGGGGAGATCTACAACTATTTCAGAAAACAAGACTCTCCCCCGGGAACCATTCAGCAGTGTGAGGAATGTCCCTAGCCCCATGAAACTCCCTCTCCAGCCTCCAGATCCTCTGGGGATGTGAGCTGAAGCAGTTTAGACTTTCCTGGCCCTTGCTTAGGTCAAGGTGAGCAACTTCCTGCCCTCCCAGGCAGGAGGATTGATTCTGTGTTCAGTTCTCAGTTTCTCAGAAGTTAGGGAACATTTCCAAGATCTTCTTTTTGTGCCTCCCAAAGTGCACAGAGACACTTATGCAAATCAGATCCCAGCATCAGCCTTAGAATTAAAAGGCAAATATCTAGCTCAGGTTTTCTCAACCTCGACCCTACTGACCTTTTCGATCAAATAATTCTGTATTGTGGGAAGTGCCCCGTGCGTGACTGGATGGTCAACAGCATCTTGGCCTCTACTTTTAATGTGCCAGTAGTACTGCCTTCTCCCAGATGTGACCACAAAATAATGTCTCCAGACATTGCTGAATGGCCTCCAGGAGGAAAATCATGCCAGGCTGTTCTGGTGGGTTCTGTCCAGCTCCTGTTGTCTCAGAGGCATACTTTGTAAGCAACATACCCCTCCATCTAAACCAGGGGGTGTTTCCCAAGCAGATGTCTAGACCCAAGACCATTCCAGCCACTGTGGAGGAGCCAGAAGAATCTAGGGAGTGGCCCCATTTCCCAGAAGCTGCCATCAGAGGTTGATACCTGCAGCCAAATCAACCGAGACCAAGCAGTGGGTACAATTGTGTGGTTCTACCAGGGAAGGCCAACCCAGGGAGCAGTGTGGCAGGCAGGCAGGGACTCCCAGTTCAGAGGGAAGGAGCAAGCAGAAAGTGCTCATTGGGCAGGAAGCAGGCAGATGGACCTCTGCGAGCATTGGCAGGGGCTTGGCACTGCCCACCAGGGATGGCTTAGTGGACCTAGCTGGGGCATTGAAGGACAGCGGGCACTGGAATTCCAGGCAGGGGGACCAGGGAGGTCAAATCCTCCAAGGCTGGACAGTGTGGCCTGTATGGAAGGGAACTGTACTCAGGGACACCAGGAATGCTTCTCAGATTTGCCCAGACAGCAGTTAGGAGTCCTGAGATAAGTCCACTAGACATGTCTGGAAGGACTGCCACCCTTCAGTGGAAGGGCAGAGGTGAGGTGTTTGTGAGAACCCATGGACACACAAGGCAAAAACCTCAGCGACCTAGCCTCATTACCAGGGGACCTCAGCCAGCCACAGGCAGGGCTGCCAGGACCCTGGAGCCGGAGGATCTCAATGAGTACCACCCTTTGCCTCCTGGGAGCTGTCACACAGGGAGCTGTGACTCAGGGCCTCCCCCGCCCAGGTGAGTCACACACCTGCAGCCAATCTGCACGGAAGCTGCTGCCTGGAGCCAGAGCGCATGCCCACCAAGCACCCTGGCTTCGTTCCCCTCAGATCCCCAGGCCTGGCCCTCACCTTCCTCCCACGGCATCTTCACACTCTGGAGCCCTCACTCCACTCAGCACTGATGCCCCTCCCTTCCCACTGTCGGCCTGTCGATTACTAGTCCGTGGGATGCCCCAGACAAGTCTCTGGGGAGCTAGCCTGCCATTAATTCGAGCAGTGTGCGTCCCTGTCTCTCCCTTTCCCTCCTCTCTCTTCCCCACCTGTCTTCAGTAGCAACTGTAGCAGTGGCTTCCCCAGGGGAGCAGCGTGACATGGCCACATCTTCAGGACGATCACCCGTGTGCCAGTTACAGCCGACAGCACTGATGGAGGGAAGGCGGGAGGCCAGATGCTGCCCTCGTTGCTGCCAGCAGCTGCGGCTTCTCCCCGACAGTTACAGGCACTCCTTCACCCCTTCCTCCCACCTCGGGGGGCACACAGGTGTGCACCAGGAGGCCTGGAGGTAGCCAGCCCTCAGGGCCCACAGGTCCTGTGTGACAGGACCGGGCTGTCCTCAGAACCACGGTAGGGCAAGGGGAGAGGAGGGCACTTGGAACCAGCAGGTAGGACAGCCACATCAGAGAGAATTTAGGGACCCAGTACCCAGGGGCCCTGAGGAACATGAGGTGGAGGAGAGGGAAGACCCTGAGTGACGATGCAGCCACACTCCGACACTGTCTGACGGGATGGGCAGCTCCACACATGGCCTGGGATGACCGTGCTGCCTCTGGCTCACAAGCATTGTTTACCTCACGCTTTTGGGCTGTGAGCCCTGGGAAGGAAGAAGGAGGGAAGAGCATCACGAAGCGCATTTCCCCTCCTGTAGTCCTCCCAACACTCAGGGTGGGCAGGACAGGCCATAGAGCCATTATCCACTGGAGAGGAAAGGGAAGCTGGTCCCACAGTCAGGGCCACCATGCATGGCCCTAAAGCTTGCATCCTCCAAAGGCGACCAGTCAAGGATGAAACCCAGCCTGAACAGCTCCCACTGAGCCACTGTCTTCTCACTGGAGAACATTTTCCTAATTTACAGTAAGGCATTCATGGTCACCCAACCAGAGCCAGAGAGTGGCGGCACCGGACTCAAGCCCCATTGGTTGATTGGCCACCAGCCTTTCAGACCAGGTTTTTGGACTTTAGTTCAGAGGGCAGAGGGGGACCATCCACAGACCCACCTGCCAGCTCCCTGCCTGAGCTTACCCTGGGTCCCATTCAGAACCATCTGTAGACCATGGGGCCCAGGGAACATGCCCTCATGGAACCTGCCACCCTCTCCCATTCTCATCCCAGCACCCAGGAGCTTGGGATCCCCTGTCCAGATGGCCTAAGCCTCCGCAAAGGGTCTGCCCTGCAGCTGGGGAGCCACTGGAATGTGGACCCCTGGTCGGCACCCTCTGCTCCACCAACCCAGCCCTCCCCTCCCCTCCTCCCTTCACCCCCCCCCCACCTCTTTATCTCCCTCTCCCTGGTCCCTCCCAGCCCATGTGGGCCTGCCTTCTTGACTCCTGTAAGAACACGCCAGGGTCCAGCCATGTCCAGAGGCTCCTTAACAGTGCCAGGCCTGGTGGGAGGGGAGAAAGCGGGGCCTGTCCTGCTGGTCATAGTGCATAGCCAGGAAGCCCCAGCAGGAGGGGAGCTGAAGAGTTGCCCTGGGCCTGGAGGAGGCCGGCATGTGACCGGAAGAATAGACGGCAGGGCTGCGAAGGCTGGGAGGCAGTTTGGGGCAGGAAGGGGCCCAGGAGCCTCCTGGACATCAGCCTGGGCCTTCTCCTGATTTTATTTTTTAAATACATGACAGTGGAATGTATTATAATTCTTATTACACATATAAAGCATAATTTTTCATATCTCTCTATATAAAGTATATTCACACCAATTCATCTCTTCATACATGTACTTTGGATAATGATGTCCATCACATTCCACCATCATTAATAACCCCCCGCCCCCTCCCACCCCTCCCACCCCTCTGTCCTATCTAGAGTTCATCTATTCCTCCCATGCTTCCCCTCCCTACCCCACTATGAATCAGCCTCCTTATATCAGAGAAAACATTTGGCATTTAGTTTTTTGGGACTGGCTCACTTCACTTAGCATTATCTTCTCCAACGCCATCCATTTATCTGCAAATGCCATGATTTTATTCTGTCTTATTGCTGAGTAAAATCCCATTGTGTATATATGCCACATTTTTTAAATCCATTCATCTATTGAAGGGCATCTAGGTTGGTTCCACAGTTTAGCTATTGTGAATTGTGCTGCTATCTCTAGGGTCTATAAAGAACTCAAAAAGCTAAGCATAAAAAAAAAAAAAACAAATAACCCAGTCAATAAATGGGCCAAGGACATGAACAGACACTTCTCAGAAGAGGATATACAGTCAATCAGCAAATATATGAAAAAATGTTCATCATCACTAGCAATTAGAGTAGCAATTAGAGAAATGCAAATCAAAACCACTCTAAGATTTCATCTCACTCCAGTCAGAATGGCAGCCATTATGCATATAAACAACAATAAGTGTTGGCGAGGATGCGGGAAAAAGGTACATTCATAACACTGCTGGTGGGACTGCAAAATGGTGTAGCCAATATGGAAAGCAGTATGAGATCCTTGGAAAATTGGGAATGGAACCACCATTTGAACCAGCTATTCCTCTCCTTGGACTATACCCAAAGGACTTAAAAACAGCATACTACAGGGACACAGCCACATCAATGTTTATGGCCCCCCCATTCTCTAGCCACCTTGCCCTGGCCACTCCCTGAGTACGCTCTACCCCTGCTTCCTCCTCCACCTGAAAATGCCTCCACATCCTCAGAGATGCTGCTCAGGCTTCGCCGCCTCCAGGAAGCCTTCTCTGACTGCTCACCCCACCAGGATCCTCTCACCGTTTCTAGAGCTTTCCCTATAGTAGTATTTATAGCACGACATTGTAACCACTTATTTGTCTATCCCCTACCGCAAACTTTGAGGGCAATAACCACCTTATTATGACAGCTGGCACCTGGAACCCGGTGGGCATTCAGTGGGGAGGCGGATGTCTGGATCACAGCAGAGCAATGGCAATGGGTGGAGGAGTGGGGGGGGGCACTTGGTGCCAGAGAGGTCGTGACGTCCTGCTGGTAAGAGAAGGAAGATGGTAGGTGATGGCGGTCCCAGCTGGTGTCTCTACTGCTCCCATTTTTTTTTGGGGGGGGGGACATTTGTCCCAGGAATGCTCTGATCCCTGGTGGTGACTGTCCTCTCTCCTTGGTCCTAGTATTTCTGCCTGTTGCTTGTCATCTTCCTGGTAGAGCTGGTGGCAGGCGTCCTGGCCCATGTGTACTACCAGAGGGTAAGTGGAATCAGAGGGCCCATTCTCTGCCAGTGCCCTGAAGAAACAATAGCCAGGGGGCACTGAGGCTGTCCCACTCAGGGTGGTCCTGGTTCCCAGGCCCGAGGACCCTCTGCACATCTGGATCCCATCTTCCTCTATGGGTTCCAGCCATTCTCTGCTGATGCTAATGGGTGCAACATGGGAGCTGGGGGTGGAGGGAGTTCCCCGTGGGAGGTTGGGCCATCCCTCTCCCCTTCCAAGGACAGTTAGAGGTTGAATCCATCTGTCAAAGACATCCAGGGGAAGGGCTTGGGGCAGGGTGGCATGCAAGACCATAAAAGGGAGTTCTGGGGGCTGGGGCTCAGGGGTAGAGTGCTTGCCTTAGACGTGTGACGCACTGGGTTTGATCCTTAGCACCACGTGAAAAATAAATGAATCAATAAAGATATTGTGTCCATCTGCAGCTAATCTTTAAAAATGAGTTCAGGCTTTTTCTGCCCAGAATAAACAAGGTAAAGTGATCAGTCTGGTCCTCTCCCTTGCTGTGGCCTGGGAATCAGGGGTTTAAGGTCACGTGTAAGGTGATTTGGGGTTGCTAGAGGGTGTGCCACCATGCTGGTTAATTGAACCAGTGTCCACACGGTGCCCACAGGGTAGCAATTGGTAATGCTTTGAAGATAACCTTGTAATCAAATTCAGATCCACAGCTATTGGAAAGCAGCCGGTGCTAGCCTCGTAGCTCTGAGTGACCCTTGGTGACCCTTGGTGTCTCTTCCCCCACCTCTGCTCCGCTCTGCCCATCATGCCAGGGCCCTCACGGTGGCCCTGATTTTTGCAGCGTCCTATCCGTGCACCTCCTCAATGCTGTCTCTGTGGAGGGTCCTTTGACACTGTCTGAGGTACCCTACCCTGGCAGCGCCCTCACCCACGGTGTCCTGGACTTAGCTGGAAGGACTTTGGAGCACACCTGGGCCCTGGAGTGTGAGTAGGGTTCTTCTGACACCCGCCTTGTGCTGCTCCCTCCTCAGCTGAGTGATGAACTGAAGCAGCACCTGAATCGCACCTTGACTGAGAACTATGGGCAGCCCAGGGCCGTGGAGATCACAGCCTCCGTGGACCGTCTACAGCAAGATGTAAGGTGCCAGGCAGACCCAGGTTCACAACCCGACTCTGTTCCTTCCCACCTGTGTGACCCTGGCAAGTTCCTCACCCTTCGGAGCTTCCATTGCCACGTCCCTAGGGGAGACTGACTGGAGGTAGCCAGGAAGCAGGGCAGGACTGGCCTAGGTTGTTCCCCATGAACCTCTTGGGGAATGTGAGCTGGAACTCTGACCACACCCAGCACATGAAAGGTGCTTTCTGAACCCTGGTTCCTTTCCTTCATCCTCCTCTGCCTTGACCTCTCCCACAGCTTCCCCTGACCTCTTCCTCCAAATCCCTCATGCTGACTTCCCACTTGGGTCCCCTGGAGCAGGAAGCAGGCCAGGCCAGCAGAACTCTGTCTGCTCAGGACAAAGATAAGAAGTTCCTTTCCAGGCCCTTCCATCCGTGAGCTGCCTTTCTCCTACCTCGGGGACCTGGGGGCCAAGACGCCAGGAGGAAGAGCTGTGACAGGCTCTCAGTGAGGTGGCCACAGAACTGCTACAGAACAGAACAGAGAGGGCATCTTTCCTTTCCAAAAAGAGATGCAGCTGACACCCCAATGAGGCCCACAGTCCCAGCCAGAGGTAGGGAATGGGCAAGTGACCTCAGACCTGTGCTGTCCAAAATGGTGGCCACTAGTCATAGGTCACTTTTATACTTAAATGCAAAACTCAGTTCCTCTCATGCTTGTCACAATTCAAGGGCTCAATGACCACACATGGCTAGTGGCACAGATGTGGACATTTCCCAATTCTACTGGACAGCCCTGTCCTACTGGTTCCATAATGGAAAATTCCAAGCAGCTCTAAGTGACCACTATGCTCCCAGTCCCCCTGCCATCCAGCCACCCCACCCAGGCCCAGGGCCTTGCTCTGGGACCCATAAGCATCAGGCAAGTAGAGGAAGTCAGTGGGTCCTGAGCGCCCGGATGTCATGGCTCAGCCCTTCCCCACCTCCTTCCCTTAAGGCTCAGGTTCAGCTCCCAGTCAGGGTAACAGGGAGGAGTCTCTTCTCTCAAACAGGGACCAGGGACAGATGTATACACACAGATGCACACACAACACACTTAGCCAGGAACCAGGATTGGCACAGGCTGCTGGTCACCCTGTCCCGAGCTCAGTGTGCACCTGCTGGGCCTCCCAGGGGAAGAACTGTGTGAGACAGTGACTGGGACAGAATCCCTGCCCCGGGCACTTACTCTGGAAGCTCAGCTCACAGCAGATGATGTGCCAGGTGCTCGGCTGGGGTTCCCTTGGACTAGAGGGGAAGGGAGAGGGGTTTACAGGGGAGACTGACTGGAGGTAGCCAGGAAGCAGGTCAGGGTTGGCCTAGGTGGACAGGGGGAGCCGCAGGTCAGGGTAGGGACGTGTGAGGAAGGGCTCCTCTGAGAGCAAATGCCATGTTGCTGACCAGGATCTGTGTGGGCAAGGACATGTGGACGTGGGCCTCAGACTCACCAAGGATATGGCTCCCCAGCCCACATTGCAGACAAGAGAGACCAAGCCCCAAGACAGCAGTGGCTTCAGAGCCAGGGCCACCATCAGGACCCTTCAGTGGCACCACATGTATGCAAATGACAGGTGCCCATGTACCGCAGGTCACTCGAGGAAGATGGTGACTCCAAGTCCCTTGTTAATAGCTAGCTCTCCCCAGATCCTTTCCTAAGTGCTTACCTTGCAACCTGTGCTCAGAACAGCCCTGTTGGGGTGGCTTTTGTTGTCCCCATTTTACAAATGGCACAGGAATAGCAAGGCATACGCACAACATGCAGAGACACACCATGTACAACTCCTGTGCGACTCCCCCTCACACTGTCCCTGGCCCCCTTCCTCCTCTGGGCCACATACCGGCTTCTGTTATCTCTCCTACTAAATAACAGTAATGAGAAGCTCCCCCAGGGCAGGATCCCCACCTGACTTGTTTTTGAGCTCAGTCCCCAGCTTCACTCCTGGCACATAGTAGGTGCCTAAGAAACTCTTGTTCCCTGAACTATGAAGTACCTGCCTGCCACACACCCATGCCATACTGCAGAGACCGCTTTGACGCAGCCATGTCCCCCAGCCTATAGAGGATTTAGCATCTCAGTGCCTTGACTCATAGGGATAAGAAGTGATCAGTGTCCATTCTTTGAATCACATTCAGCCTGGGCTGGCATTTCCGTCCCCTGGGCACTGAAGACAACCCAGGTCCTGCTCAGCACACAGCAGCCCTGTGCTCAATGCCGAGCTGCCATATTATGCGTGGGCTCTGGGACACTCTGCCCCTGGGGTATGGGGACTCTGATAGCTTCAAAGCCAGAATGGGGACCCAGGAACCTCTGGCAAGGATGGATCCCTGTCCCCAGGTCCTGCCTCACAGATGACCAGGAAATGCCCCCCTTGTTGTTTTGCCCCAGTGGGTCCTGGCTTTGCCACCTAGTGGTCCACAGCCCCACCCTCCCAGGACCCCAGCCGCTATCTACCCCTAGAGTCCCCAACATAGTCTTCTTAAAGGACTGGGTGGCTTCCCAAGGTAGCAAACAGGTGTCCTGTGGAGAGGACCCCAGAGGGACCTGTTTCCTGCTCAAAACTGGGGAAGGGGAGGATGGCAGGGAGAGGATGTAGGGGTTGAACCTATGGAATCCCGAGCCCTGCAGCCCCGTGACCCGGGGGCCCATGGGGCCCACCCAAGCCCCCCTCACCTCCGGCCTCACTCTCCCTCTAGTTCAAGTGCTGTGGGAGCAACAGCTCGGCTGACTGGCAGCACAGCTCCTACATCCTGTCTCGGGAGGCTGAGGGCCGCCGGGTGCCCGACAGCTGCTGCAAGACAGTGGTGACACGCTGCGGCCAGCGGGTCCACCCCTCCAACATCTACAAGGTGGAGGTGAGTGCCCCAGCTCCAGTTGGGGGCCCGGTGGGGGCCAGAAAGGCCATCTCAGGCAGATGGGAATGGTGCTTGGGGCCTCCAAGGGTCTCAGAGCCCTAAGACAAGCAGCTCCTACTGGGAGAACCCCAGAAATCATGGTGTGAACCCTGGGGCCCCGCAAGAAGCCTGGGAGTGATTCCAAGGCTGGATCCCCGCCCTCTAATCTCTGGCTTTCTTCAGCCTCCGCTGGACCCAGTGGACAGCCAGCCCGGCCTCGCCCCTGCTGGGCCGAGGCTCGTGTAACCCTTGGCTCCATTGCAGGGAGGCTGCATCACGAAGCTGGAGCAGTTCCTGGCTGACCACCTACTGCTCATGGGGGCGGTGGGCATCGGGGTAGCCTGCCTGCAGGTGAGTGCAGTGGGAATCAGCACAGGGGCTGTGTGGAAGCGCTTGGAGGCCCTCTCCCATTGACAGAAATAAGTGGCCCTTTATGCACCCATAGCCTGCCTTCCCCTGCCCCACCTGTCTTCTCTCCCCTTCCCTTTGCAACCAAGGATGAACCACAAGGTCAGTCTCTTCCCCAGGGAACACTGAACAACTTGAACTTAGAAGGAACAGGGACCTGGGAGGAGTCTGAGTGTGGGCTCAGGTATGTGTGTGCACCCTGCGCGTGTACAGCCTGCGTGTGGGTCCTTGAGCGTCTGCATGCACCTGGATATGCCTGGTTGGGATGTGTGCCGCACACGTGCTGAGATGTGCTTGTGCATATGTGTGTGTGTGTGTGCACGTGTACCAGCACTCCCATGATGTACGTGTGTGTGTGTGTGTGCATGTGCTCTCCTCTTGTACACCCAGCTCTGTCCCCGAGGATGGGCAATGCCCTTGGTCCTGTCACTTCCCTCCACACCACCCCCCAGCCACCACCCAGGATGCAGGCATCATTGACATCAGTTGCTCCAGTCAAGGGCCCAAAGAAGAGGAGCCAGGAGGGGACTCTTAGGGGCTGGGCAGATGCAGTGAGCTCAGGTCCCATAGGTCCCCACCTCACCCTTACCTGGCACTTGTACCCTGATGGAAGGTCCTTCTAGAGGGAGCTTCACATCCTGCAGTCCTGCTGTAGTCGCATCTAGGGAAGGCCAGGGGCTCTGGAGTCAGAACACCTGATCCAGTCCTGGCTTTGCTCCTGTGGGATCTTGAGTTAAGCTGTTAAGCTGTCCTTCAACTTCATCCGCAGAATGCAGGTCATTGCTCCAACCTCTAAATAAGAGTTCTAAAAGTTCTAAATAAGAATTACAGGTTGCATGTCACCCACTCAGGGCACATGGCACTTACAAAGGCCTCCGTACGTGGAAGCTGTCTTCTCCAGTTACCTGTGAACTTTAGAATATTTTCAGTGGCTTCCTTTCATCAGAGCCTTACAACAACCTGAGACCCAAGCCAAGTGGGGAGGAGATCAGGAATTGAGATCTGGAGAGGCCACGTATGTAAGGTGTCACACCCTGACCAGACACAGAGATCTCCTGGATTTGGTTCTTTGCTTTCCCAAACCCCTAACCCCCACACAGAGGTCTATGGAAAAGAGACACTTAGAGTGCCAGTGTCACCTGGCTTCAGGAGACTTCCAGTGTAAGATCCTTCCAGAACAGGTGCTATCCATACACAACAGTGTGTGGACCTCGAAGACCCAGCTGCAGTCTTTCAGGCTGAGAAGAAGGTCCCCAGCCTCTGGAGGAAGACCCTTCTTGGTTCTGCCACCTACAAATCATGTGTCCTAGGGCCAGTTATTTCATCTCTGAGCCTCAGTTACTCATTTGTAAAATGGTGTACTTATTCTTTGGTGGGACCATGAGAATTAGCAATATGCATGTAAATCACCAGAATTATTGCCGAGCATACAACAGGTGTTCAGTAAATGAGGCTCATCATTTTCATTATTTCTACATGGACACATTGTTTCAAAAAAAAAAAATCTCCAGTGGTTCCCTGGCAAGAGCAGCCTGCCTCTATGTGCCCATTTTACCTGCGTGGCCCAGGGAGCCCCAGGTGGCCTTTGGTGCACTCCCCAGCACAGGCCTTCTGTCCCATTTGCTGAAACCAGAAGAGTCACCACTGGAACCCAGGGAAGGGGCTACTCTGTGCTCCAGATCCTGGCTCAGCTGAGCTTTTCATAAACCTGTTACTCCAGCAGTTGGTGGGGCCTGCTCTATATGGATACAGACCAGGCCTGGTCTACTCCTGACCATTTCTTCATGATCCATCTGTCCAGAGAAGCCATAGCCAAAGGCACAGAAACCAGGGATGTCGAGTAGGACTGCAAATGCCTTGAGCCCAAGGTCAAGGTGGAACTTTACTGGGCAGTGCTTCACAAGCCCACTGAAGTTTCCTCCCACTCACAGCCCCCAACCTGGAAGGTTGAGAGGGAGTTTCACCTGGCCGCAGCTGTGGATCTCAACCCCTTACCCAGTGTTCCCCTCTGCAGGCCACTGAGCCTACCCAGCAGCAACCAAGCCTCAGGTTAGAGCTCCCTCTGCTGGCCAGAGGTGGGCACTAAGCTGCCCCAGTCCTCTAAGTGGGCTGAAGCCTCTTCCCCAGACCCATATCCTCCTCAGAGCCAGAGCAGACACCAGATACCTCCCACACACACTTATCATGGCACTTTAGAGACCCCCACATTTCAGGATGTCAAGCATAAGATGGTTTCACAATGTTTCCTGGTCCCCAGAACTGGAGGAAATCATGTTTGGGAGTCAGAGGGCCTGGATTCTACACATAGCTCCACCTCTTGCTATGTGACCTTGCTGTGTGACTGAACACCTGTTATATGCTCGGCAATAATTCTGGTGATTTACATGTGTGACATTCCATTCCTTCTCTGGAATATAGAATGGAGAGATTGAACATTTTTTAACCTTTATTAAGCAGCAGCATCCACTTTTTCTTTTTCTTTTTTTTTTAAACATTTATTTCCTAGGACACAATACAATGCCTTTATTTGTATGTGGTGCTGAGGATAGAACCCGGGTCCTGGCTGTGCTAGGCGAGCACTCTACCACTGAGCCACAATCTCAGCCCCAGCATCCACTTTTTAATGGAGTTTCCACATAGGACCCCACTCTCCATTAAACACAGACGGCAGAGCAGCTGTTAGGATTGACACAGGAGACAGGACTTTCGTGACAGCCACCCTCACTGCTTTCATGACCCTGAGCTACACTTGGGATTTCTGGTGCAGTTTAAAAACCACTGGCCCAATCCATCTCTCAGGAACCTTCTGACTCTAATGTGTGATTTTGGGGGGTAAGATTCCCTTCTCAGTAACCAATTATCTTGGGATTGATGTCCTGCAGCATGCAGGAATGTTAAAGCAGATAACTTGTGAACACTCTGAAACCACACAGAAAGTTCACGGAGTGTTGCCAACCCTGACTTCAGCCAGGTATTGGGCCACGTGTGAATGTCGCCTTGCAGACCAGACACCAGGCACTTATCGGTTTAGGAGAAATTGTGACAACTGGATGAGCACGCTGGGAGAGAGAAATGAGATCAGTGTCAGCCTGGCCTTCAGCCTCAGACCATCTCTTCCTAGTTTTCCTAGTGATCTCAGGGATGGCCCAGAGTTGCCGATCAACTCTGATAATGGGCCACATCTACAGAGAGAGCTGGTCTGTTCGTGATAAAGCCAGCAGGGAAGAAAGAGCTCCGTGGGTGGAGAAGATGGACTGAAAGGGAGTTCGAGTCCTCACATTTAAGTCTTGCCTTGCTTTGCATCCAGCCTATGACACAGAGCGGGGGCCGGTAATCTGCCTGGGTTGTCTGATGCAGATACAGCCTCGAGGGTCACTGGTAGAAATCAGGAAGACAGCCAGGAAACTAAGGTGCCAACACAAGCCACACCAAGGCCCCATGCTCTGGTTCCAGCCCCACCTTCCCAGTGGGATGAGACCTCTACAGAGATTCCAGGGTGGTGGTCGTCTGCACATCAGATCCCCTGGCAAGCTTTAAAACCCCCCAAGGCCCAGACCACACCCCAGCACAAGTAAACAAAATGGTCTGAGACTGGCCCCAAGGCCTCGGTGTGTCTGCTAAGCTCCTTAGTGGTTCCTTAGTACAGACAGGTCCAGAGTGAGGACAGGTAGACTGGAAGTCAGGTGTGGGCAGCGTCAGGAGATGGGAGAAGAAGGCACTCTTCTTGGTGTCTCTAAACCACAGCAGTCATGTGGGGGAAGGAGGAGACTTTTCCCAGGTGGCTCCAGGAGACAGGCAGGAGCTGTAGGTGGAATTTACAAGGAGACAGATTGGAGACCTTTTTAACAACCGCAATTAACCCACGGTGGTCCTTGCAGAGCCCTGAGTTCTCTGGGGCTGCCGGCTGGGGCAGAGGTTGGGGCCAGCGCGGATGCTAAATGGAAGAATGCTTTTCATCAAAGACAAGGCCTGCTGGGAGGGCACCTGCTCCTCTGTCCACCCTGGCCATGTAACTTGCCATACTGCAGGCGATGTCGGACCAGGTAGGGACCATGAGGCTTTTGAGGTGCCCCACATCATAGACTCCCAGACCAAAGAAGACCCTGCTGACTGGCCATCAGTTCTGATTGCACATTTCTAAATACCCTGCTCATGTTGTCCTGGGAGGAGTCCCATCTATGGGTATGTTTTAGTGTCCCATTGATTCAAATGTACATTTGGGGTAGAGAACCCCTAGGCCCATCTTATTCACAGAAATTGACAGAGATGGAGAAAGAACCAGGTGAGGGAACAGCATGTGCCTGGCTGGCTGGCGGTGGTGGTGGTGGGGGGGTATACTAAGGGCCCAGAATAGGGGTGCTGTCTGGCCTAGGGTGCAGGAGGGTCCTAGTTTTTTGTTTTGTTTGGGTTTTTTGTTTGGCTTTTGTCATCCTGGTTTTTAAAGCGTCTTACTCTGGACCAGTGAACAGACTGGAAGCTTTTTTACTGATGGAGTGAGATTTAAGGCTCAGAGAGAGATGGAAATGACCCCCTAGGTCACACAGCCCATCAATGCTTACCCCACATAGAATGCAGCCCTCTAGCACCCCAACATTCCTCGTGATTGGATGCAGGCATGTTCCAAAGCCCAGAAAACTCGCAGGACAGCCAACATTGGGATCTATAGGTCGTTAGAAGGAAAACCAAAAGGTCCTTTGGAAATGACCTCCCAGAATCTTCCTGGCCCTTCCTCCCAGCTCTCTAATGAGGTGCTGGCTTGGAAATGTCAAGAAGGCTGAGAGCATGATGCCTGCTTGTTAAAAATATCCTATACGTGGCCAAGTGCTCTGCCCAGGCAGCTCCCAGAAGAAAGCACTGTGCCCACGCAGGCCTGGCCCAATCTCCCCTCTGCCGTGCCAGCTCCTGCAGTCAGTTTGTCCTGTGTCTGGGAGATGCTGATGCTTGTTCAGGACCCCTTCAGTTATTATCCTTTACCTCTTTGCATGATTCGGGGTGTGAAGTGTGTGCGTGTGTGTGTGTGTGTGTGTGTGTTCGTGTACACACATCTTCGTGAGAGCATTGTTAACCCCTCTGCATGATTTGGGGTGGGTCCGTGTGCATGTATGTGTGTGCATGTCACATGTGTGTGCATGTGGACACACATTAATTAGTGTGTGGCCCACACACCTCTGCCTTACTGTGCCTGTCCTGGGAAGAACCTGGAAATCCACATCTCCTGCACAGATGTGTGTACCAGGGAACTCGGCTCGTTCATGCTCCTGGCCATGCACATCTTCATCAGCCAGTCCTTCTCCCTCTGGCTGGAGCCCTGTGGCCACCCAGGTCTGCATTGCCAAGAATTGAGGGGTGGGGGTGGAGTAGGGGAATTCAGAGCATCGTTCCTGTATATAAGGAAATCTACCTTCACCCTGTGCTATGGGACAGTCATGGGGGCTATTCAGACATAACGCCCCTCTCCTGTGGACAAAGAGTCAAGATCCAACATGTCATTTTCATTATCAAAATCATGATGACCGTCACAGGGCTTCTTGGTCTGACACATCCCCATCTCCTTCTCCTTAATGCATCCTTGATTAAGAGGAAGAGGAAGAGGGAGGAGGAGACCCCATGAAGAGCAAAAAGGAAGAGTAAAGGTCCTCTGCATTTTGGAAATGGGGAGCGTGAGACCTAGAGTGGGAGGCGTCTTTCCTAAGACTACGTGTGCCCCAGGCAGGGTGTTGTAGCCCCTTCCTTTTCAGTGAGTGCCTGCCCACAGAGGGACTGACAGGAAGGACTCCTAGGCCCTGGGTCTGCATCCCGAGATGATTGACAGAACACACTGGTGCTCCTCCCAAAGTCTCAGCTTCCTGGTGGCTTCTGAATATCAGCCAAAGTATGTTTGATGCTCTGGAGTCCAAGAGCAGCAGACTTGAGGTGGACTAGAGAGAAAGACACTTCAGCTCTAAGGAGGGAATGGAAATATCACCACTGAGTAGCTAATTAAATCAGGCCTCCAGAGCAGACCTGGGATCACGTGCCAGCAACATCTCCTGGGAGCACCTACTAGAGAGATGCAGGTCCTCAGGCCCTCACTCAGGCTGCTGGGGTTGTAATCTGCCAGGTAACAAGACCCCAGGTGACTCATGCCCATCAGAATGTGAAAAACATGCTCTTGGACAGTAGTTCTCGGAGTGTGGTTCTCCCATACACACCAGTATCACCTGGGAGCAGGTGAGCAACGCGGCCCACCCCAGGCCTGCAGAGGGAGAAGGGCCCTGGGATCCCGTCATGCACTCCAGCGGAGCAGCCTGCTCAGGGCACCGCAGCCAGTGACCTCATGGGGTTCTGATTTCCCTTTGCTCTCTGCTCTCTCCCTCCTGGCAGATCTGCGGGATGATTCTCACCTGCTGCTTGCACCGGAGGCTCCAACGGCACTTTTATTAATGGTCAGCCCTGTCCCCTTCTGGCTGTCCCTCACAAGTACAAGGGCCTACATCTCCACATCCATCAGCAGGCGGGACTAGAGCCATGGACTACCTTTACCCTGTGCCCAGGCCCGGGGAGCCCACCAAGTGCCTGGATGGTGACTCCTGCTCTTCCCACCTAGGCAGGGACCCTCAGTCCCCACCCCTTCACTTCTTAGCATTCACTGCCAGAATCCTGGGCAGGGAATGATCCTGCCAGGACACAGTCAGAGCCCCTTGCCAGGTATGGAGTGTCCAGGTCAGTAGGAAGGTGAGAGCTCTTCACTTGGTCCCCTTGTAGCTGGAACCTGGAAGGAAGGCTGGAATCTGGGTCCCTCTGGGACTCCTGCAATGCGTTGGGTGCTGAGCAGCCTGCATCTGGCTCATGCCAGGGACATCCCGGTGGGGCAGTTAGGAATGGCTGCCTCCTAGTAAAACTAGCCAGTCCCTGGCCTGACTGTTCCCCACACTCTCATTGGAAAGCAACGTCCTCCTATCTGCATTGCTGCCTGCAGGGCTGGGAAGGGAGGCCTGAGGTGGGCCACCTGGTAGTGCTGCCAGGAAAGGAGTAAGAGCCCTGCACCCTGCCACGCCTCCTTCGTGGAAGAGATTCCCCCTGGAGACTATGGCCCCAAGCTCCAGCCTCCAGTAATATGCACATAACTCCTGTTCCAAGGCTTATTGTCAGAAAAGCCAGGTTTTCAAACTATCTGGCTGCTAACATCCGTGGATTTAAAAGCCCTCCCCAAGTGGACCAAATCAGACCTAAAAAGTCAGAGCCACAGAGAAAGGGAAGTTCTGAGGAGGGGTGCCCTGCCTGGACCCCACTTTTCCTGAGTCCCTCTCTCCCTGACCACATGGTCATCACCCTGTTCCTTCCAGGGGCCTTACTCTGCTTCCTTTTCTACTGCCCCAGAGCAGACACAGTCCCTTCCTTTGGTTCTCTTGTGCATCAATGATTGAGTCAGGGAATTTTCAGGAAGAATTTTGCCAAATGCTAAGGGAGACCAGAAAGAAGATTCTAGAAAACATAGGGTAGAGTATGTATCAATTCCTAGACCTCCATCGGGAACCGCCCAGGGCTCCATATGACTGTTACTTGGGCAGTTCATAACATAAGAATCCCACTCCTGGTTTCCATCCTTCCAAGGTCCTACACTTCTGCCCACGTAGGGGACCCTCCTACTTCCCCAGCAAGAAGGGGTGGCACTTTGTTAACTGAAGCTGAGACCACCTTCCCTCCCACTCTATCCAGCCTTCATTCTGATGAGCACAGCTCTTGATGACCCAGGCTCATCCTGAAGGAGGAACATTCTCTTCTATACTTAGGGGTGCCCTAGGGGCCACTCACTGCTGTCATCAATGTAGTCCTGAATGGTCCAGACACTGCATCCTCAGAACAGGAAGTAGCCACGTGGACAGAGTTTAGACCAGGCTCTGGGGCACACTGTTTTCTCCACTCCAGATTCCCCAGGGGCTCCTCACAGCCTGGGCTGGTTTATCTCATCTGCCTAGATGGCTCTGGGGTTGCTGATGCAAATTCAATAAAAAGAAGACAAGCTCTCCCAGCAACCCCAGACTGTACCACAGCCAAGAGAAGTGGTGGTTATCTTAGCTGCCCTACAACTTCCTGAGACTCATGCAGATAATCAAAACTTGTGGTGACTCCCAGGCTTGCAGAGGGAGGGTTGAGAAAGAGAGTGCTGGACTGGGACCAGTCCTTCCCGCAGAGGGGCCACAGGGTAGACGGTAGTGGGCAGGGATATTCTGTGGCCTTCTCCATCTGCCCCTGTGGGCTCCCTTAATTCTCAGGGAGATGGGGACAAAGGTGACAGGTGGGCACCATTTGCACAGTCTTGTCACTGACACAGGTCAGGAGAGCCTGACTCATCAGCCCCTAGCCCAAAAGTAAGGCCAACCTTACTGGGGACAGGATTAGCTGTGATTCCTTCCCTGGGCACCATCCTGTGCAGATGGGGGCACGACTGGTTGGAGCTGCAGAGTGGAGAACAGCCCAGAGCTTTTTGGAAACATGACCTCCTTATTCATGTCAACAGGGTCGACATGAGACAGGTTCAGAGGAAACAGAGCCCCAGAATACAGCACATTCTGCCTAAGGGCACATAACGGCTGTCGTCCAGAGCTGTAAGGTTATGATCCTTGGTCAGATGTGCCCCTCCCTCTGACAGGGATGCAGATCCATGCCTGAGATGCCTCCTCCTGTTCCTGCTTTGAGGCTGTCACGGTCTCAAGTGCCTTGGAAAGAGAGAAAAATATGCCTGCAGAAAATCATATCCTCAGTCCTAGGGGACAGGGACACAAAGTTCCTAGGGTCCCTGAAGCTTGGGTTGGCATATCCTTGCCTTGAGCAGACTAAGCACCCTGCCCTAAGCTCCCAAGGGCAACACAAAGAGCAGAGCATATCCCCAAGTCCCCGGATGACTGGGGAGGGGAAGGAATGAAACCTGACCCGTGGTGAGAGTTGAGATGTTTACACCAGTTATCGTCTTTCTCCTTCCCCTCCCCTTCACTGTAGCCCTGACTCCAGGAGTCCCTCTGGCATGGCTATTTGAGGAATGTTTACTGAGGGTCTCCTGTGCACTTAGAATGTGTTAGTTGCCATTAAATACATTACCTTGCAGTGACCCCAGTGAGAGGAACTAATTTCCCCATTTTGCAAATGAGACAATTAAGGCTCAGCCACGTCAGGGGCCCTGCCTGTCTGTGGTGATGGCTGTCGTCATGGGCCGCCGCCAAGTGGACCCAAGGAAGGCCAGACCCCTCTGCTCAGCATCCCATAGTCCTCAGCCTCTGCAACAAGCTGTCAGCCTGGCACTCAGGTTCAAAGTGTCCTTCAGGGACATTGCCAGATAGCGGCAGCCCCAACACCCCTCCCAGGTCGGACAGAGCCATCCCTCGCAGCCCTGCACATTTGCAAGTTGGTGCAGAAGTCTGGCGTATTTCAAGGTGACAGCCAGGACCCCCTGGCAGAGAGGCTCAGGCACACTTCCATGATAAGGTTGACACCACAGTGAGAGCTGGGACTGTCCCTCTGCTCTCAGAACCCTCAAACAGGGTGGGGTGGGAATCTCATGCCCATGTGGACATCAGCATCTAGGACAGAGATGTCTCTCCTCACCCCATTCTGGGGCCTCAGATCATGTGCACCCACAGAGCCACCCCGGGCAGGGATGGGCTCTAGGGGGTGATGCTGTCCCCTCCTCTTCCATTGAGGCCCTTTTCTGCCTTCTTGCCCTCTCCCGTATTGAGCACCCATTGTTGCTGGGTTCTAGGATGGACACAGTGTCACTTTTGTCCACAGAGCCTCACTCTGTGCACAACCATAGGGATTCAGATCCGGAAGGGTTCTGTGACCCTGGGGGAGCAGGATATGATAGGTCACTATGATTGGCCCCAGGACCCTCATGTCTGAAAATCCACTTTGGCCTTGATATCAGCAGCTCTGGGCCCCTCTTCAGGGTTTGGAGGTAAGGGGAGTGAATTGGAACAGTTACCTTCATCACCATGCAACCCACTACCAACCTTGGAAATACTCCCTAGGTACAGGGCCATGGTCAGCCTGGGGAAGGAAGGGGAGAAGAGGTGGGCCATCTGACCAACTGAGGAGGAAAGCAGTCTTTTGAGTGGCCGCTGGGTGGCGCTCATGTCTGCTGAGGATGGTACTGATCAAGCATCAAACCCAGCAATTCTCAAACTTGCTCTGGCGACATGATCACCTGGGGACTTTTCAAAACAGACTGCAGCCTCCCCAGAGTTTCTCATCAGAAGGCCTGAGGTCAACAATTTGCATTTCCAGCAAGTTCCTAGGAGGTGCTGATGCTGCTGGTCCTAAAACCACTGCTTGGGGCCATATCATAAAGGAAGACTTACTACCTTCTTTCAGATGTCACACCCCCAGGGTTCAAAAGCCCAGCAGGCTGTCTGGCTTGAGTTCCACCTGCTGCAGCCTCGACTGTTTGCACTTGATCCGCTGGAAGAGGGTGGGATGAAGCGGCCACTGGTGTCTGTTCACAGCCAACCAGGAAAGCCCCTCTCAGCTCTGCATTCTTGCAGCCCTACCCTGATGGATCTGTGACCTTGGCCATGTTGCAGCAGTGGCCCAGGTACCTGGATCCTCTTCCTGGAGGGGGACTAGTTACATTTACCAGCATGTTCTCCCACCACCTTCTATGTGCCTTGGGACAGCTCTGCTATATGCTCGTCAACCCCAGCCAGAGCACAGTACCCAGCTCCGTAGTATTCTAGGCCTCCCATGATCCCTGTCTCCTTCCCACCTAGGCAACCTGTCCCACACCCTGCCCTCTGCCCCGAGCAAGTGCCACTAGTAATTCTAAGCATCCCAGTGTTTGGAGGCCACTTGGGCTCCTGGAACCAGGTGGCCCATGAATGTGGGTTACCAGAATATTCTAGAAACAGAGAAGTTGCCTTAACTTACTGCTTGTAGGGAAGCTATAAGTATGCCTCTCTCCTTAGCTGATTTCATTGGAAGCCCAGCTTCATGTACTACAGGGCTTGACAATAAAGGAATTGTATTAAAGACTATGTTCTGCTGATCTGTCTTTTGCTCCTGTAAGGGAATCCCAGGCTATTGGCTCACCAAATGCACTGTGATCCTATAGAAGCCTCCACGCTGGTCATGGCTTCCCTATTAGCAACTCACTGACCACATTTGTTAGGGTCCTGCTCACCCTGCATCCATCAGCTCTCATCATTCGTTCGTCTGGAAGGACCTCTCCTGCTCACGGGTATCATTAGCTCCTGCTCTGGCTGCAAGTGAGAGCCAGGCTCAAACAAGTGTGTTTGAATTGGGTTCTGCTTAAAGTCTCCCACCTTCCATCTATTGGTGTTTTCACACCATTCCTACAAGATTTGCCTGCCTGTGTTAAGAAGCCTGCTTTGGCTTCTCCCTGCTCAGACCATACACACTCACCCTCTCTGGCTGTAGCAGGTGCAGAGTGTGGCCGGAGTTCTGGAGCACAGGGCTCCCTCTGGCTGACTTGCATCCTGGATCCCAAGCCACCGCAATCCAGCGAATCTAATAGACTTTCTCCCCTGGCACCATTTCCATCCCCAAATCTAGATTTGGAAACTTCCCCTGCCAGCTTACCTGGCAAAAAGCTGAAAGGAAGTGGATACTTTGTCTTTAATGACATAAAATACTCATTTTCTTTAATTCACTCCTCTTTCTAGAAAATTTGGTTGGTGGGGAACCCAAAGAGTATCTTGGTAATCTGGGCTCAAGGGAATCCCAAGACAGAAGAACTGGGGGAGGGGGGTGAGGCCCAGGAGGCAGCCAGGAGCCAAACTACTTGCCTGTTTGAACTTGAAGTGGGCCTGGCCACCTGCTGTGTAAGCAGATTGAGCCACCTGAGGAAGTCCCCAGGCAAGGACCCACCTTGCAGGGTAGTCTGCTTCCCTGTGTCTCTGGGGCCGCTTTGGGCAATGCTCAGTTATTCTCTGAACAACCACAACAGAGTCCTCTATGGTATGGATGTAAACAGGGAATGGCCAAGCCTAGGACATATTCATGGTCCCATTGGCCTGGAACATCTGCTCACCTCTGCTATCACTGTGTGTGTGTGTACACATACACACTTGCACATACACGCACAAGCACACAAATATACCTGAGGAGGGACAAGCGCCACTCCTCCCCCTTCTCTACTGCAAACAGGCGTTGCTGCTGGTGGTTTGCAACTGCTGTCTAAACATCCCTAGCAGCCGACGAGGGCCTTGTCAAGGCAGGCAGGCAGCAGGAGGTGGTTGCTGAAGCAACACCAGGCTCCCCTTGGTGGCTGCTGCTGGCCTGTCAGCTGCCTCCACTTCCCTGAAGGTGTCAATGCCTTATGGCAGCCCCCCGGGGTGGGCTGTCTTTGCTGGGGACTTTGGATTCCACTTCTTCCCCACAACTGAAAATAGAGAGGCTGATGGGGTTGCTATGGTTTGGGGAAGTGTCCCCAGAAGACCCATATGTTAAAATCATGATTGCCAGCTTGTAGCACTACTGGGAGGTGGTGGAACCTGCAGGAGGTGGGGCCTAGTGGGAGGAAGTTAGGTCATTGGGGGCAGGCTCTTGAAGGGGATATTGGGACCCAGGCCTCTTCCTGTCTCTTCTTTGCTCCCCCATTGCCATAAGGTGAGCAGCTTCCTCCACATACGCTCCAGCCATGATATACTACCTCACAACAAGCCCAAGCCATGGGGCCAACGGACTGAAACCATGAGCCAAAATAAATCTTCCTCCATAGAAGTTGACTACCCTAGGTATTTTTTTTTATAGTTATGGAAAGCTGACTAGCCCAGGGGTGAGGAACAACTTCCATTAGACTTTCGAAATATTGAGAGTAGCTCATGAACCTCTAATTCTGTTTTAAAGAACCCCAAGCTGGGGATTAGAGATCAAATTCAGCATGTGCTTCCTGAGTGGTAAATAAGAAGGCTGAGTCCTTTCAGGGTCTCTTGTCAGAAAAAAAAAGAATATATTAAGAACATACTTGGGGGGCTGAGAATTCAAATCGGGGGGGGGCATGGGGGTAGGAAAGGAAAGGACAGGGGCTTCCCATGTCATTAAGTGATAGAACACAGGCCACTGCTCATGTTGACTGCCTGTTGGAGGGCCCCAGCTCTGAACCTTGGGCCAGGCTAAATCCCACAACTTTGTAACCAGAGGAAAACTCTCTGGGCAACAGGAACCAGCCACAGACTACTGTGCAGCTTTCCTCCCCAAGTTTCTCTCTCTCCACTATGCCCAGGGCCACCAAGGGAAACCCCCAGGTTCATCCCAGTGAGCTCTCAGGTCTCTAGAAGTTCCAGGTGGGCAGCTTCGAGCAGGAGAGTGTGGCTCAAGCACACCTGTGGACCATTATTATTCTTTTCGTTAGCTTAAGCAAACAATCCCTCCTTCTCATAGCTGTCTTTAAACACAGCAAAACCCAGATGGCTAAATCAATAGTCTCCCAATCTTCGCTGAATGCTTTAAGAAGAGACCATCACAATGCCAATAATTTTGTGTCCAAAATGACATGTATTTGATTTGTCTTCCCTGTTGCTGCTGTGGGTTATTGAATGCTGCTGCTGAGCCAGCCCAGGGCTGAGCTGAGGCACGGGGAAGCTTGTCCACTCTGCAGTTCAATCCTCTCTCAAAACACCAAACTGCCCTTCCTAGCTTGCTCTCCCTTGTCCCTGGCTTTGGGCCTGGGCGATGATCTTCCTTGGGTTATACCTTTGGTTTGGGGATCCTGATTCCACTAACTTTTGCTGAGCACCTATACTGATCCAGGAACTGTCTGGACGCCTACACACATTCTTTTATCTTAGCCTCCCAGCAAATCTGAAAATAGCATTATCCTCATTTTGCAGATGAAAAAACCAAGACAAGTTCAGTGGCTGCTCCAAGGTTCATGTGGACACCAAATGCACAGTGGAAATAAATCTAGCTCTTCCAGTTCCCAGACTGGTGCTTCTGCCGTCCACACCATGGTACATCTCGAACGTGAAGTTCGTGCATCCAGACGGCCAAGAAGATCATTTTGGTCAGGAGGAACCTAGACGATAGTTTATGAAAGCATTTTGGAAGCTGTGAAGCTCAATACAAACAAAAGGAGCGCTTCAGTTATGCCATGCTGGTCTCTGCCACTCTCCTGCGCGTGAGCGCCAATACCAGACAGTACAGTCATCTATCTATTTGGTGCAGAGAATTAGTCATCTACCTCTCCAGGGTGAGAGTGTCATGCTGGGTGAATGGCAAGGACACTCCTTCTCCCCGCAGTAAACTTCATTACCTATCAGGGCTAGCTGATTTCCCAGAGTGTCATTCAAATCCATCTCCCAGTGGTTCCATCATTTCTCACCCAAAACATTGCAGCACCCCGTCCCCTCTGCCCACTCTCCACACTGCAGCCAGTCATCTTCCTGAAGGCCAGGGCCAAGCCCATCACACCCTGCCTCACAGCTTCTCAGGCAGCTCCCATTGCTCTCAGCTGGAAGTTCAAGCTCTCTGACCTGGTCTTCAAGGATGAGTTCTGGTGAGGGCTGCCCGCTGCAGACACGTCCTCTCACCCTGTGCTCAGCCACCACACAGACACTCCTCCTTCCCCTCCTGCCCAGGTTAACTCCTCCATCTTCAGTTCTTAGCTTAGAGGGCACCTTCTCCAGAGGGCATCCCCCCATGCAACTTGGGGTTGGCTCCTGTCCCCACTGGATTGCTGGCTGTGGTCCAAGGTTGGGCACACATCTTCCACCACTGTATTGTCCTTGCTTGGGGGGTGCTGAGCTATTTGGCAGTCACTCATGATTCATCCTTTCTCACTTGCCTTTGCTGAGCACAGATGGAGGGAGGTTCTCCCACATCTCAAGGGAACGAAGAGGGCAAAACAGGGTTCCCCAGATGTTAGAGTCTGTAAACAAGTCAAAATAACACCTGGCATTTTGCCAGGGGAATGTTAGAGTTCATAAACAAGTCTGGATGGCGCCTGGCAAAATGCCAGAGGGAGTGGTTTGTGAAGTAACTCCAGCGAGCCATTAAGTGTGGAGATTTCTTATTGGTTGACTGATGTATCTAGTTTATGCTAATTAAGATAAGCTGTGTGGAATGTATAAATACCGCTCCTGTCCTACAATAAACGGCTTCCACTCCTGCTGTATCAACATACACAAGTTATTCGTCACCCCCTGGTTAATTTGCCCAGCCAGCCGGGCTGCGGCACCCAGTCATCTTAAACCCATCTCTATGAACAGGAGAACCCAGAACCCATCCCAGAAGACTCGAGCATCACCATTAGAAGACCCAAGGAAAACAGAGGCCCGTCTGCTGCCCAGCCAGGACTCCTGCCTTCCATGGCTCTGCTCAATGAACCAGGGTCTGGTGCTAGAAGGGGATTCAGTGTGTTCCACTGCCCTGTGAGCTACCAGCAGACAGCACACTGTCCCTGCTGGGATGCCCCAGCAGGTATGCCCACAACCAGGAAGGAAAAGCAAGAGCAAGAATTGACTGAGACAAAGTGGCTTCCCTCAGGTCAGATAATAGCTTACCTGCCCTCAGCCATAACCAGCTCCTGCTTTTTGGGCCCCAAAATCCTTCTCAGTCAATCTCCTGGGGAGGCTCTCGGAGACCCCATTCCAGCTGGACCCTTTGAGAGAAGGTCACTCCAGATTCAGGGAAAAGTAACCAGAGGCTTTGAAACATAACAGCTGCAAATAAGAGCTCCAAAGACTGGTGTTTGGGGACAATTCTGAAGATGTGACTATTCCCTTGAGAGAGGAGATAAGGGAGTTTGGAGCTGCCCCTCCTCCTATTGCCTTCAGACCTGAGTGCACATTCATGCCTCATCCTGCCCCCATCCCAGGGACATCCCAAGTGACACAGCAATGACCCTGGGCAAGAACTCAGAGCTGCCTCATCTGTAACTCGTCCCTGTGGTGTCGACTATGACAACTAAGGAAAGTCTGTAAACCAGAACCCCAACCACGGCAGTGGGGGCAGCCCTCCCTGTGACCATCCTCAGACTGTGATTTCTGGGCTTTCTTGGAGAATGTCTCAGAGCTACCCTGGAAGGGTTCTTAAGCTCTCTGCACTCCTAGAAGAGACATCAGGCTCAAAGGAACCCTGAGAATATCAGAGATGTGCTCCTCGCCCCTCACATAGGGTTGACCACTTCTGGGGAGACAGCCACTGAGATGAGGCAATGGTCTCTCAGGTAGAGGGCTCAGGCCTCATTTGGACTGACCCCTGATCTAGGCGTAGGTATCAGGTCACCCAAGGAGTCAGGATTCCTCAGGTACCCACAGAGGGGACTGAGACCCTTCCTGCACCAGCGGGGAACCAGGACCCTGGGAGGGAGATGAGGTCCCCGCTGGGGAAATGTCCTAGATGTCCTAAGACTGGAGTCTGAGGACTCTTTGGGCCCTTCATACCAACCAGTATAATGACTAGATCACAGTCACAGCTAGATGAACAAAATGCACCACGAAGAGACAGTCTGCTTGTGCTTTTGACGCGTTATCAATTTTTATTTAAAAACATGCTAAAAACATGGTGCTCAATAAAGCCAGGACCGGGATGAAGGGGACGCACATGTAGGGCACTGCAAGCAGAAAAGTGCATTTGAAACCAACAAGCGTGCACTCCAGGCTCTCCTGTGCTGCCCGGGGACAGCGGGCAGGGTGTGGACAGGAGGCCCACACTCCTCAGAGACACCATTCGAGGCAGGGAGGCCAGGACCCACCCTGGACCACTGCCTCACAGTGGTAGAGAAAAGGAAAATGGGAGAATGGGACACAAGAGGGGTCACTGGGCTCTGAAGGGCTGAGGGGGAAAGAAGAGACCCCAAGCACCTGGCACCCAGCTCCCATCCTGTGCCATGTCCCTGCTAGTTAGCACCTCCACCAGAGGGTGGGCAGGGGGCTGGAGAGGAGGAGACAGTCACTCCATCCATCTGTCTACTCTGTAGCCACCCAAACCTGGAGGCATGGCTACCTAGTTCCAAGTCCAACCAGAACACGTGCGAGGGGATCTGGGGTGTGTTCAGCGACCTTTCCAGGGCGAGGGCCCAAGATGCAGGCCCAGGCTGGCAGGAAGGCTGGTGGCACCGATCCAGCTCAGAGAGCGTGGCTGCGCAGGGGAGATTTGCACCCTGACACCCACCGCCAGCCACCCCAAGGCAGTTCTCAGCCGTGAGTTCACCTCCTCAGCAAGATGGCTTCAAGGAAAGGCTGAGTCTACATTAGGCATTCCCTTGAAGTCGCCTGCAAACCCTAAGGGACTTTGTGAGTCAGGTCTATAAATTGCTTGCATCAGACCTAATTGAACTCACTCTGACTTTGGCAAGGGAGGGAATTCACTCGGCGGGATTTGGCCCCAATGAGATCATAGTAGGGAGAAATGGAGAAGACACTGAGCCACCTTCCTGGCCTTCCGGATAGTGTGGGGACCGTTCTGCAGGATGGTCAAGGGGCTCAGGAGAACACCTGCCCTTGCATGGAGACTTCCACCCCATGTAGACTCAGCAACATGAAGGAACAGGTGAGGCAAAAAGGCAGTTTGGGGACTTGTGGACAATGCTCTGTACATGGACGGATGAGGAGGGGGCTGGTGGGGTCAGTGGCGGGGAGGGACTGCGGCAAAGGCTCCAGAGCAAGAGGCCACCCTGAAGCACTCCAGAAACAAGACTGCCAGGGAGGCTAGACACCTCCTAACATACTAGGCTTTTGCTGTGGATATTAACAAAAATTAAGAATTGCATTGATAGGCATAAATGAACCCATCCCCACCACCAAAAACATATGCACCAGGTCTCACTGCGCTCCAACACTTGTTGCTGAATGTCTCTGTATTTGGGGCCCTAGAGAGGCAGCTGCTGCTCCTAACCAGAACAGGCCAGAGCAGCTCTACTCACGTTGCCTGCCCCACATGCCCCAGGACCCGCCCCGCTGCGATGTCCATCAGCACCATGCTCCTGTCTCAGGGAAGTGGTTTTCACTCTGTCCTACTCACTGAGACCACTTTGTTTTCCACTCCCACCCCCAAAACATGAATCCTGAACACACCAAAAGTCCTGCGCTCCTGGTCCCGATTTCTATGTTAGTGAAGGTGAGTGGAGAGTGACTGGTTGGCTGGTGGCCTTTTCAGCTCTGGGAACAGACAAGGCAGGTGGAGTTTGGTGAGAGATCTAGGCAATGAGCAGGGAAAGGCAGCTGCCCACACAAGGCCCCACCCAGTGACACGCCTGGCCCCTAGCGAGCCCCAAGGTGACCTTTTCAAGCTCAGTCCTGTGGATTCTTGAGTTTTTAAACTATAGACGAGCCCCAGTTCTGGCGGGGGTGCCCTGCTATAGCTGAAAACCCGCCTGTTGGTCTCCACACCCAGGTCTGTGTGTGCCAGGACTGACTGCTCTTTTTTCCTGGGACCTCTGTGACAAGATCCCCCAACCTCTGGGGTTTTCTGTATCTCATTTCCTTGGGATGATACAAGATGTGGTGGCCACCCACCCCTCTGCAGACAGCAACGAACCCCCGCAAGGGGATGAGGGCCCTGGGAGCCACGTGCTCCCGTCCCTCCTCCCCCAGCAGGGTAGTCAGCTGGGGTAATCTGGCAGGGACAGTCATGTGTGCCGGTTCAGCCTCCCCCTCCTGATGGGCCTGGATCCTCTGCCACCATCTGAGCAGCTGACCATGAGGACTGCTTCCCTCTCCTAAGGTAAGTGACAATGAATGTGTGCAGTTCCTGAACTAGAGGGCTGTATCTCAGAGTCTGCGGCAGGAATGTCTGTGAAAGTAACAGGGGTTATGGGACCTGGGCATGAGTGGGAAGGGAAGCCACCCAGGCCAGCAGAGGGAGGAAGAAGGCCACACTAAAAACTGCTCACCATTGAAAAGCACAAGGCTCTGTCAGCTTTGGCCACAGTCCTGGAAAAGCCCTTCACCAGCCACCTACCTGGAGGACCCCCAGCCCACCCCACCACTGCTCTGGCCTCCCTGGCTCGGTCAGCAAATGCCACTGCCCCTGTGCAGGACGCCCTGTCATGCCCATATGATGCTCCTTTGTCTTTCCCACCTTTCCTGGGCCCCTATTCACAGATGCCAGGCCTCAGGGGGCCGCATGCTAGCCATCCCCCCTCCTTCCTGGTACATCTCAGGCAGAGCCTGGTGCGTCCCACCCAACAGCTTCAGGAGTATCCGGGTGGAAACTGGACGGATGTCCCATCTCCCCACCCTTCCCCACCCACAGGAGAAGGAAACTCAAACCGTTAAAGAAATCAACACAGTAAAAAGTTATAAATCAGAAAAGCTAACCCTAAACTTATCTGAGAGATAATATTCCTGAATAATCATAATCAGAGTAAAATAAAATAAAAAAGTTACACTGTAAGGTATAAAAAGCCTGGGCAAGATGCTCCAGCGGGCGGCGGTCGGACCCGCCCTGGCCAGCTCTCTGGCTGGGCGGTATGGACGGCAGTGGCCTCCGCAGGGGCAGACTCTCCCCCGGGGCGGGGGGAATGCTCTGCTCCCCACCCCACCTGGGGACAAAGTGTCAGTGTGAGGAAGGGCAGCAGGTAGGAACCCATCAGTGCTGGAGACTTCCTCCTTGGCGTCCCCCAGCCCACCCTGTCGTCTTTGGCAAATCGCAGGTGCAGGAATCCAGGTGTCCAGTGCCCCAAGGTCTCTGCGCGCTGCCTCCCACTGGGCCCTCCGCCCTCTGAGAAGTCTGAGGCTGAAGTGGGTGGGCAGGGGGAGGGCAGACGAGGGAGGTGGGGCAGGGATGGCAGTCTGGAGGGCACAGGCAGGGGACGAAGTTCAGATCCTCTTCCCTGGCACAGCGTCCGGGTGGGGCTGGGCGCCCCCGCCAGCCCGCTCACGCATCATATTTTTTACCCGTCCGGTGGATGTGCTGGAACAGGGTCATGGAGAAGGCCATGCCCAAGATCTGAAAGACAAGGGGAGGGGCTTAGATGGTTGCTTCGGCAGCCCAGGATCTAGCCTCAGCCTTGGGAGCCTTGGGAACGTCACAGGGCACCCAGCACAAGTGGAACTAAACATGCATGTGCTGGGAAATGCTCTGGGGTGAAGAAAACAGCCAGCCCAGGTTACCGGGGGACACAGCACAGGGCCACACAGGTGGACTCCAGCTGAGCTGCTCAGAGCTATGCGTACAGAGCCCCACTGCCACTGCCCCCCTCCACAGATGACACGTCAGAGGCAGGTGTGAAGGCTGAAGGCATGAAGGATCCGACCCTGAATGACTCAGGAGCCAACAAGAACCACGGGGAAAGAGGGAGGTGGTGGTGATGACAGATGAAATTCACACCGAGTCGCATGCTTAGTTCTAGAACACTGGACATGAGGCCTCAGGCAGAGGTGCTTGGGACAATGTTAGTACTTGTTTGTGTCTTTTGACCTCAATCTGAAAGAGGGTGGTGACCTGGACAAGCACAGGAAGAAGAAGGGGGACAGCTGTGGCTTCCTGGTCACCACATAGTATGCCACTGCTCAAGTCGTAAAACTGGTGGCCAGGAGACACTGTGTGTGTCTTCTCTGGCTCGAGTGCAACTAGAGAAGATCATATCGAGCGACACCAACACCAACAGCCTGGTGCCAGCAAGTGTGGAGCACCATCTTGCTCATCCCACCCGAGCTGGATGACAACTGCTAGACAGAGCTCAGCCCCGCCGTGCACCAACAGACTACTTAATGCCCCCCTCCTCGGGTCAGGTGCAGTAGAGGTGCTCCGTGGCTCCTCGGGATGCCCCTCACCTGCATAATGAGGATGCACATCCCCACGGTGCCCAGCACGTGCTTATTCTCATCAAACCACATCTTCACTTTTTCGTAGCAGCCCTGGGGAGCAAGACACAGGTGAAGGTCCCGGCATGACATGAGCTCCCCCAGCTCAGCCCCACCTCACTTTCCCTGCCAGGCCCTACCTCCTGGCCCTCGCTGACCCTCCATTCTGGTCCTCCTTCCTGTGAGCAGCCTCACCCCACCCAAGGTTCCCCCTACAAGGTACACAGCCACAGACCCCCTTCAACCCTTAACCTTGGACTCTCCCAACTGGGGGCCCAGCATGTGTGTGCGAGCGTGTACACACACCCCTGCCTTTTGACTCCACCCTGGTGTCCCCGCCCACTCCCCAGAGAGCCCATCCTTGTGCCTGTGCCCGTCATCCCCGTGCCAGGCCATGCACCACGTGGCGGACTCCAGGACTCACCGTTTTCCACAGGGGCGTGGTGGCGTTTCGCCCACAGCCCTGGGAGTTCTCCATGCAGCAGCGGTCGGGAACTGTGTTCTCCCCCAGGACTGGGTACCAGTCCGTGTAGTCAGTGACCCCACAGCAGTGCATCTGCCGGGCAGGGATGGAAGGAGCTGTTAGAAGCACCCAGCCAGCCCCGCCCACCCAGGCCGTCCCCTGCCTGGGCCAACCCCAACCCCTCAGAAGCAGCCGTGCTGAGGTTCAGGTCAGGAGACAAAGGGCCTTCTTCTTGCCCTTCCTTGGGCTGTGGTAGAGCCCTGGGGGAGGCAAGCAACTGTTCCAGTCCCCTGCTCACCCAACAGCACCTCCAGCTCTTTGCTTTGTGATGCAGACCAACCATCCCAAGTTGGTGGCTCGTAGGTCCACCGGCCAGTTCTCAGGGCTTAAAGTGGGGTGTCGGCAATACTGACTTATTTTCCTCTTAGAATCAGAGCTTGTTACCTGAGCCGAGCACAATCATGGCGGCCAGTCCTTGTGAGATAAATCCTACAGTTCACCCCAAAGCCAAGCCACTCCCAGAGCTCCCTCAGGCCTGTCCACTCCTGTGTCTGGGCCCCCTGGCCTCCGTGCTCACCTCCTCATCCCTCTTCTGCTGTATCCCATGGTATAATGCCTGCTCCATTTGTTCAGGCAAATGCCACCTGATAGGCGGCCTGAAGGCCCGGCCACCACCCCGCCTTCCGCTGGCCTTGCCCGACGCCGCCGGAGCCCTCACCTCAGCCTGGATGATGTTCCAGGCGTTCTTGAGCCCCACGTTGTTCTCGGTGTTATACAGCCGCAGCCCTTCCTTCAGGTCCTTCTTTGCGTTCTCGTTCACCTGGGAGGTGAACACTGCAGGTTGGAGGGGGCCAGGATACGGCGCCCGTCCCTGACCCAGGCCAGGCCAGCCAGGACTGGGCAGGGGTGCTCCCGGGTGGGGGAGGGAAGGCAGCAGGGATGGGGGCAGGGCGCTTGGGCTTCAGTCTGCCCCAGGAGCATCGTCACCTGCCACCTCCAGCAACGCATGGCCCACAGAGCCAGCACTACCACAGGACGAGGAGAGCAGGCGGCACGCCCCCACCGCCTGACCAGGACCACCACCCACACCAGCCACTCTGTCCTGACATCTTCCCCACACACTGCCCCACACCCTGGGCAAACAGGGTGGCCGATCAGTCAGTCGCTCTGATCTTATGTCCACCTCTCGAGCAAGTACCGTGGCCTCTCTCACCTCGGCTTTACCAGTGTTATTGGAAGAAGAATGTCAATTTTGTGAGAATTCAAGGACAAGAATTCTTATAAAGAACCAAGAACAGGGCTGACACAGAAATCTCCTCATGCTATTTCTTTTCCCTTTCACAGATGCAAAACTAAAGAGTTATTGTTTCGAATCCTAATGATGCCTGTAACTTTCTGTGTAGTTTGGGCAACTGCTTCCAGAACCCAGAAACAGATACGCACATAGTTATGGGGAGCAGATCGGCAAAAGGGCCTCGAAGCCCAAGAAACCAGCACATGGGTGACCGCTCTGCAACACTACTGAGAAGATTCTCCAAGTTGGCCACAAACCGCCCATCCTCGGAAGGTGGCTGGGGCTCACTCTGGCCATCCTTCTAATCTGAGGTGCTGTCTGAGAGCAGCGGTCTATCCTGGAAGGTCTCTGGAGATGTAGCTACTCTCTACTGTTAACCCTACTCAACCAGAGTCACCTGGAATATGCCTCCAGTATTGGGGAGCTCACTGGAGGGAGAGGCAGTCGACGGCCACCCTGGGTAACTTGGGATTCTACTTCTTAAGACTATATACAACATCGAACTCCCCAACTGGCTCCAAACTCACCTCACCTTCCATCCAGGTCTTTCCTGGCTGCCTTTCCTAACTCTTGGGTCAATTCACTTTCTTCACAGGTAGAGTCTGTCTACACTGTCCTCTGGCCAGGGGAAGAACCCTGGCTTGTCTCAGCCCAACCCCTGGGCTGTGACAGCTATGAAATTCCGTTCACCACTCCCTTGCTGGAAGGCTTACCTTGTCCATGTAGACAAAGAAGAGGATGAGCAAAATCAACTCTGCGAGCAGGATGATCAACAGGACGATGAAAAACTGGAAAGAAAAAGTCCAGGCATGGGCACAGGATAAAGGTGATGGCCAGGGGCAGGTGCAAATGAGCAACGTGGGAAGGCAGCACCCAGGCAGGGTATCCCAGGTCTGGAAGGGGCCACCACCTCCCAGGGAAACCCAGAGAGACCACGAGTCTAAGGGGAGAGGGTCAACTAGGGGCAGGAGTGTGGTCAGGCACAGAAAATTCTAGAAGCAATTTCCCTGGGCTCAGGTTGGGCACCCGTTGGCTTATGTTCTAGGCCTTGCCCCTTTCTATTGCCCAAGTTCAGGGAGACCTGGAGTTCAGAGGGCTGGGGACAGGGGGCCCAACTCACACTGAGGAGGAGGCACTTGTTTTCCTTGATGGCCCCCAGACAGCCGAGGAAGCCGGTCACCATGACAATGGTTCCTATGGCGATGACTAGATTGGCTGCAGACAGCGAGGGGAAGCTGGGGGAGAAGGTGGCAAAGTTGCCTTGGGACACGGAGAGCCAGATGCCCACTCCAAGCAGCCCGCAGCCACAGAGCTGGAGAGAAAGGAAAAGCTCATTAGACCCACACTTGCACTCCTCTCCCTGGAAATCCAAGGGCTGCATGTCCCCAGCCCCAGCCCTGAGACACAAGACAGGTGAGAGCAGGGCCAGCGGCCAGGTCATGGTCACAGACCTAGATGAATCCCACCAATCTGTACCTCAGCCTCCCCATTTGGTGAAGGGGATTAGACCAGATTCATGAACCTCATCAGTTCACGCTCAGGATCAAATTAAATAAGACAGAGGCAAAGCAGGCAGCAAACACCTCGAAGGTCCTAGAGAGGAAAAAGCATTGGGGCGGTTCCACTAGACAGAAAAGAGGCCCCACCAGGGCAGAGGCCAGGAGAGGGGCGTGTGGCCAGGGGAAGCACGTGAGGACCTGTCTCTGCACTGGAGAGAACGTCGGGGTCTGGTTTCTCAGAAGGAAAACTTGCTGCGGGTATGTCCTGTTGCCCAACCAGAAGAGCCATTTGCCGCTGTTCTCAGAAGCCTGAAGAACAAATTTCCCCAGACAGAGGGAGAAACGCTCTCATGGGGCCAGCTGAGGGGCTGCCAAAGTAGTACAGGAGGTGGGAGTTCACAGCTGCCCTTGGTGCCCATCAAACTAAGCCAGCCACCAGCGTGATGGACCCGAAAACTGACCCTCCTCCCCACACCTCTGGGCTGCGACGGAAGCCAGCAGCTCTGCCTGGGGAAGCTTCCCTTTCATTGGCGGCAGATCTCAACATCTGCCTCATTATATGCTCCATATAGCTGATACTCCCCGCTCCCTGCACTGGCTCAGGGGACATGTACTGAGTTTGAGGAGCCAATCAATCTGTCAACCAATCTTCATTATCTACAGCATGCAGCACCCCACACCAGAAAAGCTACAGGCGCTTTAGAGACCTGCCTTCCAGGGGCCTCCATTCTGGCTGGAAGGGGGTAATAAAAACACAGCATCTACCACCCTGGGGCAGTACACGCTGGTGCCAAAGAAATGCTACAGGGGTCCAGAGGAGGAGATGAACTTGGGGTAGGATAGAGGGCAAGAACATTCCACACAAGGAAAATTGTAGATGGAAAGGGCTTGGGAGTCACAGATTTTATACTCAGCTTCAGCCTGTCCTGGCTATAAGACCTTGAAAACTTCTTGATTAAAATAATATTACCCTCCTACTGGACTGTTGGGAGAATTCAAGTGAACTAAAGTATGTGAAGTGGCCAATGCCAGGCACCATTTGCTGAGAAGGAATTTACTGAGCATCTACTATGTACCAGGAACTGTACTCATAGCTGTGGCTACCTGAAGCAAACACAGACAGACCCTATTTTCAAGTTGTTCTTGTTCAGGGAGAAACCACAGATGTGGCTGAGACAAGGTAGTTCACAATCAGGCAAAGAGGGCTCTGTCATATGCCCAGGAAAGTGAAGGGAAAGGGCAGCAGTGCCCCTGGGGGACAGCATTTCCTTCACTCTTTCAGCCCACAAACCCAAACTGGGCTCGGAGTTATTAAGTGCTGGTCCTGTCCTACACACTGGAAAGATGGCAGGAAACAGTCCCAGCACACTCTGCCTTCATGAAGAGATTCCTATGGGGACAAAGTCAGATGAGTTCTCAATGATATAAACCAGGAAGAGAAATAGTTTGAAGGTCACTGGATACAGGATGGGCAAAGAAGGATCATGGAAAAGGTGGCATGTGAGGAGCAACCCCCCCCCCCAAAAAAAAAGGGAGAGTGAGCCACAGAGACATGTGAAGAAGGAATGTTCTAGAAAGGGTACAACAAGTGCAAAGGCTGTACAGGTTGGAATGAGCCTGGCCAGCCAAGCTGCCAGGGGCTGCAACACAGTAAGTGAGGAGTAAGCACAGTAGGGGACGAAGGAGGCGGGGTGGCCCGGGGACAGATGAGACAGGATCTGGCAGGTAGGCAGATGTGGGTGTTCTCAGCGTGTTCCTGCAGCTGCAGAATGACAGCATCTGATTGATGTCTTCAGGTGACTGTGGCTGCTGTTCTGAGAAAAGACCCTGGAGGGCAAAGGGGGCAGCCAGAGAGCAATGAGGAGCTGCTGTGGGGGTGGCTAAGAGCAGGTAGTGACAACCCTGGTGGTTCTGGAGGAGCAATGTGAGACAGACAGTATTGACAGGGCTTGCTGGGCCCTGAAGAATAAGCAAGACTTTGATAAGTGGGGAAACTGAAAGGGGGCCCAGGCCATGCATGGGGGAAAAATAAGGTAAGGGATATCTCCATGTGTTACTAAATCAGAGATGGTTCAAGGAGCCATAGGAGATCAGTTAAGTAAGCTGAACAACAGCCTGGGTCCCCCTCACGGTGGAGAGTGGCCCTGCATCTCTCTTACTCTGAAGCAGCCCCAGGTGGAACCAGGTCAAGGTTCCCAAGGAATGCACTTGGCTGAAACGGGGCATCACATAGCTTTGCAGGGGGCAATGGGTGTCACTACCCTCTATGACCACTAGGTGGCGCTCCAGCCCGGCTCAGAAGCTCTTTGAATTTTCCCTTGAAACTTGCATCCAACTTGTCAACAGACTTTCTTCAAATCCGGTCAGTTTCTGTGCTGCCGTCTCAATTTTTCTTTCATTAATCATACCCTGGAAAAATTCATGATTTTCAGGCTGAAGATTTATAGCTAAAAGTCAGACACTGGAATGAGAAAGCTGAAAACTGCTATAGCAGGCACTTGCCACCAGTAGAACAGCCTGTGAAACAGACCTCACTTTGGGACCCCTGGAGCTGCAGGATGCCCCCACCACCCTGCAGTTAGAGATGCATAAGGTGTCCCAGGCCCCAGAGCCTGGAGGCCCTCGGAGCAGTCTTCTCCAGAAGGCATTGCTCACTGGGAGCTAGCCAGGGGTCCCTTCTGCACCTGAGTCTCCATTTCCCCGGGGTGGCGGGCGGGGACCTGCTGTGATGCCTAGCAGCCCCTCCCTGGGAAACCTCAACAGTTCAGAACTTTCTGGGGACTGGTCATCTCTTTCAATTCGTTCTCCAACTTCACATTCCACATTCTTCGACGTGCTCTGCAAGCTTCTCAGACACCCTGTCCAGATGCCTCCTACCGGGGGAACAGAGCCAGTGCCTTGTCCCCACACCTTGCTTCCCTTCTCACCAAGGTCCCACGGGGCCCCAGGCTGAGACCCAGGCAAGATCTGCTGCCTGTGAGTGCAGCCTGTCCCCAAGTCCTGGCAAGCCTTCCTCTCACAGCCCTTACGCCTGTTCCCTGCTTCCCATGAAGCGGCACCCCCAGCTCTGGGGCATCGCACACAAATGCCTGTTGCTCAATGAGGCCCGCACGGGGCAAGGTGGTACCACACACATCCCCGCTGCCACACTCCTGAATCTTCAGGGTCTCCTGCTAAAATGAACCCTCTGTCCCCAGTTTTGGAAAACCTAGCACCAGCAGAGCCTCCAGGCAAGAAGAAAACACAAAGATCAGGCCTTAATTTTACAGATAGGGAACGTGCAGGGGGATGGACACATGGCCAGGCTGGAATGGGACTTCGCCTCCTGACTGTGTGGGCAGGCTCCTACACCTTCTCCTCCCCAGGAGACCTGCGAGCATTTGCTACATCTGGCGAGGTCCCGCGGCACTCGCTGCCTCTGGATTCTGTTTCTCGGCCCACATAGAGCTGCCTGGATCCTCTTTCCAAATGCCTCTCGCCACACTGCTCCCTGGTGTGACCTTAAGATTCTGTAGCTCTCCAAGGCCCAATTCCTTTAAACTGTGGGATTTAGACTAGATCACTGCTCAGGGCCCTTCCAGCATGATCCTAGCCAAGTCTCAGCCAACTGCTCTCATCCCCTAGGCCAGTGGTTCTCAAGCAAGAGCAGTTTGCTCCCAGGGGGGCACGCAGCATGGCTGGAGACATTTTTGGTTATGCTCCTGGCATGCAGGGGGTAGAGTCCAAGCATACTGCTAAACACCCACAGTGCTCAGGACAATCCCCCACAGTAAAGAAAGGCCTGGCTCAAATTGTCAATAGAGTTCCCCATGCCAGGCACCCCCCACCCCCTGCTGTCAACTCCTTGAGAAGACAGCTACGGGGAAAGGAGAGCTGGCTAAAGACAGGGCTGGTTCTGAAGGAGATGTCACGACACACAAAAAGTGCTGGAAGTGTCCAGATGGGGCAGGACCAGGTGGCTGTGAGCAGGGGGAGCAGTGGACAGCAGAAACAGGTCTGTTGCAGAGTTGGACAGCAAAGCCTGCCCTGGACAGACGGGAGGTCAAGAGGGCAGTACAGGGGACAGGGAGAGGCAGGGGTGGGAGAGGAGAGGAGCAGGGCAGGGAAGTGGCCCCATGTAGAGGGAGGCAAGCACAGGAAGGAGGCACGGCCTGGGGCAGCACGTTCCACTCAGTGCCAGAAGCTTAGCGGGTGGCATTCGGGAAAATTCCCTTCCCAAACCAGAGGTTTGTCTCAGCTGTGATGACCGGGCTATAATCAAGTCCGAGGCTGGAGAATCTGGGGCGAGGCAGTGTGACTCAGGGAATCGGGACCCGGCCAATGTCAGCAACGACTGGCCCGAGGTCACCAGCCACCCCCGGTGTGGTCCAGGCCTGGCCAGTGCCCTTTTCCAAGCGGGGTCAGGCTTAGGGAACCTTCTGAGCAACAAGCCTCCCCTTCCCCTTGCCCACCTCCCCAACTGAGGCCATTGCAAAATAGCTTCCATTAGGGCTCCAAATAAATCCACATCCAAATTTGAGAAGATAAATTCTACCCTTGCATTTGCCCAGAACCTCTGTGAAGGCGGGGTTTGGTGTCTGTTTTGTTCATGGCCACATCCCTGTGGCCTCGAACAGCACCTGACTCTTGGCCATGCTGGGCCTCCCCTTTTCCAGAGCTATCTTGTCTGGTCCCTGCACAAGAGGCACAGAGAGGAGCCCTGGGCACAGAAAGGAGCCCGCAAGCCAATGAGAAAAGCCTCAGCTCCCTGGGGCCCACCCAACACATGCCCAGCAGGTAAACCGAGGCCCAGGCAGGCTGTGTCGGGCTTCAG